TATATATATATATATATATATATATAAGGGCCTAATCAAATGAGAACTGATTAGTTTGTGGTAATTGTGAGGTCCAATCTCAACCACAAATCAATGGATAAATTAGGAAATTAATAATTATGGTAGTTTGAGTTAAAATTATAATTAGAGGGCATATTATGTATTTTTTAAAAACTCATCTCTCCTCTCTCATCTCTCCGACCTCCAATCTCCGGCCTCCGGTGAAATCGGTATCACAATATATCACAATGGGTATCACATTGTGTATTACAAAGGGTATCATATTGTGTATCTTTGTTTTTAAGGTTTGAGTTGGTATCACAATGGTATCACAGTATATCACAATGGGTATCACATTGTGTATCTTTGTGATTACTTGGTACTTGTAAAATTAATGTTCACCGGAGGCCGAAGATTGGAGGTCGGAGAGATGAGAGAGGAAAGATGAGAGAAGAGTTTTTTAAAAATACCTAAAACGTCCTCTAATTATAATTTTAACTCAAATTACCATAAATATCAATTTCTTAATTTATCCGTTGATTTGTGATTGAGATTGGATCTCACAGTTACCACAAACTAATCAGTTCTCCCTTAAATATATATATATATAGGGGCCCATTCAAGGGAGAACTGATTAGTTTGTGGTAACTGTGAGATCCAATATCAACCACAAATCAACAAATAAATTAGGAAATTAATAATTATGGTAGTTTGAGTTAAAATTATAATTAGAGGACATTTTAGGTATTTTTAAAAAACTTCTCTCTCATCTCTTCTCTCTCATCTCTCCGACCTCCAATCTCCAGCCTCCGGTGAACATTAATCCGGTAGGTACCAAGTAATCACAAATTAAGATACACAATGTGATACCCATTGTGATATACTGTGATACCATTGTGATACCAAATATGATACCAACTCAAACCTTAAAAACAAAGATACACAATGTGATACTCATTGTGATATACTGTGATACTTGTCGGATTAATGTTCACCGGAGGCCAGAGATTGGAGGTCAGAGAGATGAGAAAGGAGAGAGGAGTTTTTTTAAAAATACCTAATACTCTAATTACAAATTTAACTCAAACTACCATAATTATTAACTTCCTAGTTTATCTGTTGATTTGTGGTTGAGATTGGATCTCAACAGTTACCACAAACTAATAAGTTCTTATTTGATTAGGCCCCTATATATATATATATATATATATATATATATATATATAGTTGTGTTCACGTGAGACCAAAGGTTTTTCGTGAGACCCGTAAGACCAATTTATGTTCATTGATCAACTTTATAAGTTAATAGTTTAATGGTCTAAAGTTGCACGGTAGCAATTTTATGATTATTAAAAAGTCTCGTGGCAATTTTTTGATTATGAATGTTTAGATTGTAGATCTAAATCCAAGGGTTGAGAATTGGTCTTACGGTCTCACAAAAAACCCACGGTCTCACAAAAAAACATTTGGTCTCATATGATCCCAAGTCTATATATATATATATATATATATATATATATATATATATATTCAAGACATTGACAAACACATCTTTTTATATGACACAAATAACGGAGACGTTTAAACACATCACTAAATTAATAGAAAATATAACCTAATTAATCCCATGCATAAGCAAATTAAGAATAAATGTGAATATTAACATAAATATCAGGAGAAGATTAACCCTAAAGAGTTAGCTCCAATATAAACAAGTTAACCCTAGTATAAATAGAAATAAACAAATTACCCTCAAATAAAATATAAATTGAAGCATGAGGGTTAGGGTTCAATCTTAAATCGAACAAAGTGGTTGCACATAACGAAATAAACTGGTCTGATGGTTAAACAACTTATAAGTTTGAATCTAAATGTTAAAATCGAATTATGTGGTTGTGTGAGATGCCATTGGGCTTAATCTATATATTCTTTTGTGTCCATGTTTGAATCTAAGACCTCCTTTAATTATTGTGCTGACCATCCTACCGTTGAGGCAATATGTGAAGACATTTATATGTACGGTGTACATATTCAAATGGGTAAATTGATAATTCTATCATATATGTGTCCATTTATGATTTAGAGAGTTTGAGTTGAAATGTAAGTACACCTGTTCTTCGATTAATTGTCAAAGTTGATGGAAGATATGGTGCGTT